ACAAGAAAGATAGCATCTCTATCCCCTGGTCTCTGTGGGCTGGCAGGAGCCTAACTTCCTTAAGTGCTAGTTAGCAACACAAATGACCTGGCCTCTTGACCCCCTGACCTCTTCCAGTACTTTTCCACTAGCTCATCCCAGTGCTTAAAATTGCCCCAGTCTTCTGTTTGAGGGGAGTTGTGCTCAGTCTCTCTCTCCTATTGCAATTGTCTTGAATAAAGTCTTCCTTGCCTGTTTAAATTGTCTGATGCTATGTTTCCTTGACACTCTAGAGGAAGGTAAACTCCGTGAGGTCAACAATCAGTCTGTTTTGTCATTTTTGTTTCTGTAGCTCCAAAGTACTCAATTGCTATTCACTGGATCAAAAATCATGTCTTCTACAGTCAGTGGAAACAAGCTTTGACTCCTGCCTCTTATCAGCTAGGTGACACAGGAAAAAGTAAACTTTCCCATGTCTTCATGACAGCAGGTAGTTTTACAACTTGGAACAAGATATTCCCAAAGTTAAGCTCCTACTTTCCCACAGAAACTGGGGGAGAGGGATATTATCTCCCTTGATTTCATTTCATCTCTCATTCACTCTGCTTGAGCCACACTGGTCTCTTTAATATTCTTTCAATCTGACAACCACACTCCCTACTCAGGGCCTTGGCAGTTGTACTTTGGACACCTAATTATGTAAATTCTCCTAAACATCTTAGAGATTAATTTATATCAACATGAGATAAGAATAAATAATATTTACTTATTTTAAAACACTTTGTATTTCTATTATTAAGGCTAATACTTTCCTCAAAATATCATGTTGAACTTCAAAACAATCCCTAGTGATAAGTTTAGAAGTATTTAATTTTTATAAACTTTACTTACCAACGTCATATGTCTGTTTTCTAATGTATTGGATACTGTATTTGATGGATTTTTCTCATCCAACAGTTCAACTAATATTTTCTGGGTACCTTCCATGTGCCAGGTCCTGGTACTAGGATGTAAATCTTTGTACCTTACTCAGTGCCCAGGACACTGCCTGGCACACATAGTTAATAGTCAGTAAAAGAAGTATTAGTGACTTCCATGTAACTATCACTTGACTAAATCTTATCTATGAAAAGAAGTGGGCATTTATTGTGTATCAATAGCTATACATAAACTATCCTATTAGACTCTCCAACAATCTTGTGAGAAAGGAGTTATTTATATTTTCAAGATTAAAAATACATAGTTCAGAGGAGTTTCCCAATAGCCCCAAGGGCTAGAATAAGATGCAAACTTAGGGAAATACAACCCTAATCTATCAAACTCCAAACTCCATGAATTTGCTGCTATGTCATACTGCTTCTCTAAAAAACAGATATTTAAATTTTTTATTTTATAGATTATAAAACAGGTTCAGAGAGATTCCATGATTTATGCAAACCTTAACTAGCCCACAAACTATATCTAATTGCACTGAATAATGACTGTGTCGCACTGAGGAGAAATAAAAGACGACATGCGATTATGTGAAAATGGAACAGGAAGATGGTAGGGGAAGAGGTAGGTGGTAGGCTGGAATAGTTGTGAAGGCTTCAAGGAGGAGACTGGAATTGAGTTGAATCTCAAAGAACGTAGTAAAAGGAGATGCGAAGGAATGTCGCCAGAAACACGGCGAGAGGAGGCTCAGAGCAGGGATGTGCATCAGCATTCAAGGGGAAATAAGGAAACAGGCTGAGTGATGTGAAAGTGAGCGTTGGACAGTGGCATGAAAAAAAGGTTACAGGGCACATCTAAACAGGCTCTGAAGATGTCTAAATGCCAGGATGAAATGGTTGTGGCTTGAGTCAAAAAATATAATTCAAGAGATGACCCATGTTGAGTTAACATTTAAGAATATTAAAGCTCAGATAAAGAAAGACCTTATTAGTATTATAAATTAGCATCAAATTTAGTAGGAAACACATAGATTTAAGCTCAGAAAGGTAAGGTCCTGAAAAACGTGAAGAATATGTTAACGTTTGGCAGGGAAAAAAGATTATTCATGTATACATGCATATATGTTTACATATCCATAGAATAACCCTATAAAGATACACAATTAGAAACAGTGATATCTCTGGGAAGGGAAAGAGATTGGGAACAAGATGAAACAAACATAATTTTCATTTTATGTATCCTTTTATATTTCTGGTATTTTCTACCATGTACTTGTATTAGCTATTGTTAAGCAAGCAATTCCAGAGAGCTTTGCAAGAACAGGATGTGTCTGAGAACAAATTTGGTGATGTTGAGAGCTTAGGGGAATGGGGGAATACATGGCAGGAAAGAGAGGCATTATAAAGATGCTTTTGTGCTATTCTAAGGTTTTGTTTATGATTATACCTCTGTCAGCCAACAAGGCTGGTACACAGCAAGTGTTCAATATTTTAATGAATGACAAATAAAGCAAAGAACTACAATCCATGAAATCGCTCTTGTACAATGCTGAGTATTCCACGCTCCTCTCTGAGCCTAATTTCTTATCATCAAAAGGAGAGGTTTGAGCCAGGATAGTTTTTAAGGGCCTTTCCTGTTTTTATAGTATATGATTTTGATTCATGATTTTCCTCCTGTTGGCTGAATGCAAGAGCATTGATTCTCTCAGATCAGTGAAGCAATGATCAAGAATCAGTTCTCTTTCTCAGAAGACACTATTAATATACTTAGCTTTTTTTCCCCAAGGTGGCTGACTAGAGGTATATCCAGAGTGCTTCATCCACTTTAGAAGAATCAAAATAGTGTGCAGATGAATCACGCTTTGAACATATTATCTAAGAAGGAATGTGGGAGTTCAACAGAAAAGGCAAAGGGATTTCAAATTCTGAAAAGGAGATGGAAGGCACATAACCCCTGAGGCTGGGACTGGCCACAATCTGAGAGTGAATCTTCAGTATGGGAGAGGAGGTAAGAGAGCACCTTTTGGTGGTCCACTTTCCCACTGGGGAATCGTGTAGTTGAGGCCACAGGACAGAACTTTGACCCTCCCAAACCCTGAATCTAAGTTGAGGAGTGGCCAGGTGACTACAAGAAACAACTGCTCCAGAAAGTGTTCCACAAACTATGCATCTGACAGGGGACTAATGTTCAGATTTTATAAGGAACTCAAACAAGAAAACATGTAATCTGTTAATAAGTAGGCAAAGGACACTTCTTTTCTCAAAGTAAAACATATAAATGGCCAACATGCATATGAAAAAAGTTCAACATCACAGATCATCAAAAAGAAATGCAAATTAAAACCACAATGAGATATTATCTTACACCAGTCAGAATGGCTACTATTAAAAAGACAAAAAGTAACAGATGTTGGCATCCATGCAGAGAATAGGGGACACATACACTGTTGGTGGAAATGCAAATTAGTACAACCTCTATGGAAAACAGTATGAAGATTTTTAAAGAACTAAAAATACAACTACCATTTGATCCAGCAATTCCACTACTGGGTATCTCCCCAAAGGAAAAGAAATCATTATATCAAAAAGATATCTGCACTCATGTTTATCACAGCACTATTCAGAGATAGGGAATCAACCTAAGTGCTCATCAGTGGATGACTGGATAAAGAAAATGTGGCATATAAACACAATGGAATACTATTCAGCCATAAGAAGAATGAAATCATGTCTTTTGCGGTGACGTGAATGGGACAGTCGGCCATTATTTCAAGTTAAATCACTCAAACACAGAAAGACAAATACTGTGTTCTCACTTAAAAGTGGGAACTATGTAAAGTGTACACATGGACGTACAGTGTGGAATAATAAACAATGAAGACTTGAAAGTGTGAGAGGGTGCAATGGGGTGAATGATGAGAAATTATTTAATGAGTAAAATGTACGTTATTTGGGTGTTGGAGACCCTAGAAGCCCTGACTTCACCACATGAAATCTACGCATGTAACAAAATTTATACAAAAATAAAATAAAAGCAAAGTATAAGCATGATGTATAAACAAGGATAGTATAATTAAAATTAAAAATTAAAAATTTCCATTCATACTCCCCACTCCTAAATGTCTGTTGTCTTTAAGATACATGTAGTTTTCAATGGCAATTTATTACGAAAATAATATTCAGTTATATGAGGGATTATGTTTTAGTTGAGTTCTGTTCACTAAAACTCACATAAATAGGTAAAAAGTTACTACAGATGTCTACTACATGCAGAAAACACAATTTATAATCTGAACAGCATATATCCAAGACCAAGCCTCCTGTGGCTACAACACCTCACCACCAAACTTTCACCTCTCCCAACATAAACCATCTTTTTTTCTCACTCCTGATAAAAAAAAAAGTAAGTCATACAAGTTATAAGACTTCTACATACTCTGACTTGTTTGATGAGTAACCCTATAGTCCCTTTCTTTCTTCTCTCTCCAGACTGAGAGATGTGTCCATAGTATAAATACGAGTAGTACTGGATATCCATGAAGATAAATGTGTATTCATGGCTGTTCTCCTTTGGTATTGTTTGCCAAAGACAGGATGTTTCTGGGATCTAGTCTCACACTTTCATTGTGTGATATTCAATCCTAGAAAAGTCACTTAGCCTTTTTCAGTTCAGTTTTCTCTTATTTACTAAGAAGGAAGGTTAACTGAATATTCCTGTAGGAATTTGACAATGCCACCACCTCCAAATTATTTCCATGTCTAGTGATGAAACAAAACCAAAACTTCATCAACCCAATATAATAAGCAGAGCCATCAAAGGTAGAGACTACTCAGGAACAAAGATGTAGATAGCACAGTAAGCAAAGAGCCATACCATGTTCTAAAATATGGTAGCTATGATGTACTGGAGAAGTGAGTAAAAACTTCTATTACTGACAAATACATTATATGTATTTAGAGTTGTTGAGCTAATGTTTATTTCAAACAATATATTTCATAGAGAATATACTATCTGTCCATTGGGATTAGTGTTCCAGTCTCTTAAGCAAACTAGATTAGAGAATTTTCAAAGGAGTCCTTCATTCATACCTCAAGATTCTCAGATGTGCAGCAGCAACTTGACAGTGACCTGGAACCACACTTTTTCCACCCAGAAGAGCCACTCCACAATCAAATGTCAGGCACTGCAACTGAAGATGGACTCCCTCCTTAACATGTACATCGCCCAGGACTACTACTATGAGGTAGTGAAGATTCTGAAGCTCATAGCAACACAGCAACATCAATATCTGGATCTAGTACCAAATGATAAAAATGAGAATAAAAATAGAATAATGAGAAATGATTCAAAGGAGATTGATCCAGGACTCCAGTAGTTCTCTACAAGTTTTACAAAAGCTGACCTAGCAATGAAAGGTAAATACACTAATGAACACAGCCAAGAAATATGAACTTCTGGCACAAGTCAGGTGACTCAAAGAATCTTTAGAAATAATACAAGATTTTATTTTTATTTTCTGAGACAGAGTCTCACTTTGTTGCCTGGCTAGAGTGCTGTGGCGTCAGCCTAGCTCACAGCAACCTCAACCTCCTGGGTTCAAGCGATCCTTCTGCCTCAGCCTCCCATTCTCTCTATATATTTTTAGTTGGCCAAACAATTTCTATTTTTAGTAGGGAGGGGGGTCTCGCTCTTGCTCAGGCTGGTCTCGAACTCCTCAGCTCAAACCATCTACCCACATTGGCCTCCCAGAATGCTAGGATTACAGGCGTGAGCCACCGTGCCCAGCCAAGATTTTAAATGACTATTTGGGAGTAGTTTGTTGTGAAGCAGCAGCTAGTGATACAGTTCTACCTGACCTAAGGCTATTCCTCCCCTCCCTGTTCCTCGTCAGCACATACTGCCTCCCATATTCTTGCTTTCTTAGCTAACCTTAAAACAATGGCATATGACCCGTGCTGGCCCATGGGACTTCAAAGGAAGACTTCTGGAACCTTCTCATGAGAAGCCTCTCCCTTCCTCCATGCTTTGAACTTTTTCTGGGAGAATATTAGGCTTGATACTGCTAAAACAACCTTGTAACCATTAATATTCATAGGAATATTAATAATACTAAACTCACAAGGAATTGTGAGAATTAAATAAATCCATGTAAAATACTTAGAAAAGTATCTAGAACATAGTGTGTCTTTAAGTCTTAGCTAAAAGCTGACTGCATATAAAGTAAATACACTTTACTTTATATGCCTATTATATAACTATATATGATGATATGACTATTATATAAAAACTTGGCACCTAGTTAGAACTTACTAAGTGGCGGCTACTACTATTCTTATTAAAGGAAAGTCTCATTAAATCATGAGATTGATGATATATACATATGTATTCAATTTTATTTAATATGTACCAATAGTTTCTGATGAAGTATATTTAATTTCTTTTAAATAGTTAAATTTCATAGTTAATAAACATTCACAAAGATATTGGTTCTGTTTCAGGGAAACTACCAAATGAAAATATATTTTTTCATGTTTCCAGTCATTATTTATGATTACTCTTCTTTGAAAATAAAGAATGCTTCTTTTTTTCTAAAGACTTTGTTTTAAGGACAAAAATTGTAAGAACCTAAAATTTTAGGTTCACAGCAAAATTGAAGATACAGAGATTTCCCATATACCCTGCCCCTACACATGCCCACGCCATTATCAACATCCCCCACCAAATTGGTACATTTAATATAATTGATGAACCAACATTGACACATCATTACCTGGAATCCATACTTTATATGAGTTCGCTCTTTGTGTTGTACATTCTTTGAGTTTGGACAAATGTATAATGACATGCATCCACCTTGTGGTAGTATATTGAGTATTTTTACTGGCTTAAAAATTTTCTGTGTTCCACCTATTCATTTCTCTTTGCCCCCTATAACCACTGATCACTTTACTATCTCCATAGTTTTATCTTTTCAAGGAAAGCATATAGTTGGAATCATATAATATGTGGCCTTTACAGATTGGCTTCTTTCACTTAGTAATATGTATTTAAGTTTCCTCCATGTATTTTTATAACTTGATATATCATTTTTTAATGACGAATAATATTCCATTGTTTGGATATACCACAGTTTATTTATCTATTCACCTAATGAAGGACATATCAGTTACTTACTAGTTTTGGTAATTATGAATAAAGCTGCTATAAACATCTGGGTATAGGATGTTTTATTTTGAATGCAACACTGTTTACACTTTGTCATCTTTAATTTTGGCATGGTTATGAATAAAATTACTATAATGATTGGATAACAGACAGAAATAGAAAAATACTGAACTAGTAACCACAAAACCCAGGTGTTTTTCTTGATTCTTCCAACCACTAACTATGTGGCTTTGATAAATCTTTGATAATTTTGGTCCTCCATTTATTCATTAGTAAATAGAAGAAACTGAGCAGATTATTTCCAAGAAATCTTTAAGATATGAGAGTTAGTGAATTAAAAACATATCTCAAGTAAATCCTTATAAAATAATACATTATTTTATAGTCTTAATAACTGATTGAAAAACCTTTGTAACATGTTGCCTGTTAAATGATTTTGTAGATTACCTTATACTCATTACTGGATCAAACTTAGAGCAATTGTTCTTATCACCAAAATCCCTCTGTTGAAAGTGAGCACTTAGGGAAAAGTGCAGGCTTAGCCAAGAACAGCTTTTAGCATTTCCAAACATCTTTCTTTTCTCCCAAAGGAATAATGTTGGGCTCTGGCAGGGACAGCACCCATAAAATATCACTTAGTGGAACATTTTGCATAGATTATTTGTCTTTTCCAGACAAAGGAATGACAGCATTAACATTCATAGAAGGTAGGCATTTTTTGCAAGGGCTCACAACATGTCTAAAGTAGCTTTGTAATTTTGCATTACATTTGTTTGTTTTCCACTACACAAATGAGCATCATTAAAATTGTCAACACTTTCATAAAATCATTGTTGTTTATAGAAATTTCTATCATACTCTAGTATATTTTAAATAGCCATGTGATGATTTATTTATATTCACTGTGAAATAAATACATTTAATTCATATATGTGTGGATTTTTTATTCTTTTCTGTCTTAGAAAAAAATTCATAAACTTTAATAAAAAACAATTATATACATAAAACATCTACATGGACTGGGGAGAAATTTTGGGAAACTCATTTCTGATCTTTATGTCAACATCCAGTTTGGAAGATCATGTATTTGCCAATGCCACAGCTGGTTTTCCTGTCTTTATTTTATAGTTAATCCAGCACAGTTTCCAAAAGATATTAGGCATCCACATACTTTGCAGGACCTTCTGAGACTCCAAGGTGGAGTGCAGGTTGGCCTAAGCCAACCAAGAAAACTCCATCACACTTGCCAATGATTAGTTTAGGAAAGGGTACCCTGAGCAGAGTAATTTAGAGGGAAGTGTGGTGGAGCTTTCTGAGACAGTGCTTCTGTTCCTGTTTGGACATTGTTATATGAGGCCCTGATGATGAGAGCAGCTGCAGCCATTTTGAGATCATGAGGACAAAGCTAAGAGGATCACAAGACTTGGAGGTAGAGCTCTCACTTTGTTGAGCTATTGATTCAACCCACGTCGGAACCACCTACTTCCAGATTTTTCATTATATGAAATAGCATGTGTTCTCATTGCTTTGGGTAATCTTTTCTGTAATTTTCAGCTAAAAACATCCATGGAATTTTCTTTCCCTACTCCCGTTGTCCTTAGGAAGTAAGGGCCTGAGGAGAACTCTCTATCCAGGTTCTATTATCCCAAAAGTTGCACCTGAGATTGTACTCATCAAATATCAATGGGTGAACTTTCCATCATTTCATATAAGTCATATAAACATTCCATAAACAAAATGCTATTGGACAGGCCGGGCGCGGTGGCTCACGCCTGTAATCCTAGCACTCTGGGAGGCCGAGGCGGGCGGATTGCTCAAGGTCAGGAGTTCGAAACCACCCTGAGCAAGAGCGAGACCCTGTCTCTACTATAAATAGAAACGAATTAATTGGCCAACTAATATATATACAAAAAATTAGCCGGGGATGGTGGTGCATGCCTGTAGTCCCAGCTACTCGGGAGGCTGAGGCAGGAGGATTGCTTGAGCCCAGGAGTTTGAGGTTGCTGTGAGCTAGGCTGACGCCATGGCACTCACTCTAGCCTGGGCAACAAAGCGAGACGCTGTCTCAAAAAAAAAAAAAAAAATGCTATTGGACAAATTTTCCTTTTATTTAAAAAAAGAAATACACATACTGTGTTTTTGTTTTATATAAATATAAATTCTTTTCAGATTCTCAGCTATGTGTATTAGAGACAATTGTGTACTTCAAACAATTTTCTTTTCTTTTTTTTTTTTTTTTGAGACAGAGTCTCGCTTTGTTGCCCAGGCTAGAGTGAGTGCCGTGGCGTCAGCCTAGCTCACAGTAACCTCAAACTCCTGGACTCAAGCGATCTTGCTGCCTCAGCCTCCCGAGTAGCTGGGACTACAGGCATGCACCGCCATGCTCAGCTGATTTTTTCTATATATATTAGTTGGCCAATTAATTTCTTTCTATTTATAGTTGAGATGGGGTCTCACTCTTGCTCAGGCTGGTTTCGAACTCTTGACCTTGAGCAATCCGCCCGCCTCAGCCTCCCAGAGTGCTAGGATTACAGGCGTGAGCCACCGCGCCCGGCCACAATTTTCTTTTAATTATTTCCTCTCTATTCTTCAAAACCTCTTCTGATACCCAAAATGGTTACTAACATTAACATTATAAGATGTAAGAATTTTCCTGGAAGTTGGATACGATGCTTCCATTTATGTTACCCAGAATTTGTCACATGCCTACTTAGTACAAAAACAACCTGAGAAACAAAGTATTTATTCCAAGTTTTAATTACTAGATAAAAATTACTTGATTTCTTATTACTAAGAAAGAAAATTTCAACAATACTGGGAACCTTTAGCAGTCTTTGTCATGTAGCCTTAATGTGGTGTAAGGTATGTTTTATTTTGTTTTGCTTATGTGCAAGTTGGTTAGGTCATTCTTATCATACTCAACTAAATTAGAGTCTAGGAGGCAGAGGGTAGAGGCACTAGGAGCATATGGCATCTGCTCTAAGAATTAAATGTCCCACAAGCCCAGCTGCTGAAACAGCCTGCTGTAACCCTAAGATGAGTTTTAT